AAAAAAAAAAAAAAAAAAAAAAAGAAACTCATTTTTTCACAAAATTCTTCAAAAGAAGAAAGAAACTGAAAGCTGAAACAAAATTTCATATCCTCAAAAAATCTTCTTCCAAAACTCAATAAACTTTTCCCACAACAAAAACTTCGAAGAAGTTATTTCTTTCAAAACTTCGTAAATTTCAAGAAAGCTCACAAACGAATAAATTTCTTCGCTTTTGAAAAATTCTACCCACCCGCTATGACTTCCCCTCTCCCCCACAGTCAAACTTTTTGATTTTACACATCGACGATGCCTACTCGCTTGCCCGCTTATCGATGAAATTTCCCCCCCCCCCCCCTCGAAAATCACCTTAATCGCACAGTTTCCAACCACCGAGCCCTCTCGATTCCCCTCTTTTTTCCCCTCCAATTCCATCGAAACATCGTGGCCGACAGATTTTTATACGAACGACCAATTATAAAGCAATTTCGCGGCGAGAGGCAGAATTAATGCGGTGCCACTCTTTATAATTGCTCTCGTCAAGGAAATCGGATTACAGTTTTAGCCTGCCTCCGGTGTATGGAGGGAGAGGGGAGGGGAGGGGGCTGGGCGTGGGAACAAAGAGGGCGCCGCCACGTAATTCTATTCTTTTGAAAGGGAAAAAAATCTGCGCGTATCACGCGGAAGCTACGTTTCCCGATAGGCCCCCGAGGCCATTTTACAAACGATCGTCGATCGCCTCTTCCTCGTCTCGTCCAGTGATGGAATCAAGCTCGTTGCACGCTTATGGATTTATATCGAATTAAAAGTGAAAGATTCGAGTAATGATTGAAGAACGAGTACGGGTATTTTTTGAAGATCGAATTTTTATAGAAAACGTTACATTCAGTTTAAAAATGATGTTTGGTATTCACAATATAGTAAGTAGTTTCATTGTAAAATGTATACACTGTTTCTAATTAATAGATTAAAAGAAATATTAGTTTTCATTAAAAATATCACGTAAAATTATACGCAATGAGAATTACAATAGTCACTTTCAAAGACAGTCAAGAGGATTACTTTTAAACGAATGAAGAATTCCCAGCAAGAGACGCTCTTGTCTTTTCAAACTAATTCCATTTTAAAATTCTCTTTTCATTCGTACATTCGTACGTAAAATTTGAAAGTACAAAAATAAAAGACTCAAAAATATCCTATACTACCTTCGATACGTTATATACAAAATTTAAATTTACATTTTGCTCGAACGATAAAACGGATCGTCTTTCGAAACACCACGTACAACGAGTACACGAATCTGGTCCATCGACTCGCGTCGCGCTCGATCCCATCGCTAGCTGTGTGGGCCGGGTATCTATAACGCGTATCTGTACCCGGCCAGTGTAAGCGGCCGTTACAACGAGCGACGTGTTAATTAACGTCTCTTTAGCATGATAATCTGTACGCGATATCCATTAGCTCGTCAAAATACATCATGCCATGTAAAGCGATTTACCAGCGTCGATGAAATTACGAGGAACAGGCCTTCTCGTGCCGTCGCCTTAAATTACTATTATGCGCGCGTGCACACATGCCTATAACGGGTGCCTATAACCGACGAGGCGATGGCAGAGGACTCCATCCCTTACGGGGCCAGTCACGATGATAACGGGAATCGAGTTTGTACCCCTCTGACTCCAGTTGCCAATTGTGCCCGTTGAAGATTAGAAAATGAGTCGGGGGAGGGAAGCGCTCGAATTATCGAGTTTTCCTTTACGAGATCCATTATACGAAAGGGTAGTTTCGCGATGTATCGATGTGGATATCGATCGATTCGAGGAAATTCGTGTGTGTGTGTGTGTATTTATGTATTTTTTTAGGAATAAAGGAAAAGGAGAGTATAAAATAATTTTTCAAAGTTTTTATCCTATGAAATGGCGTGAAAAATCGAAGGAGGTCCCCAGATATTGATTTTCGATAATGATGGAAAAAAAAAAGCGTAAAACGGTGAGAAATGGCAAAATATTCCGTTGCATTTCTTGGGAAAATTCATGACGTTACAATGTATGTAACAATAGGAAATTTCTATAAGATGTACGTCGTTCGAATGTTGAAAGAATAGAACTCGTCACGATAGTTTTAAAAAGAGAAACGAAGAGAAAATTGCGAAACTTATCCTTAATTTGTATTCGTATCGAAGAAACCACATTTTATTATGGAATTATCTAATATTTAAAAATAATCGATCCTCGGTGAGTATATTGATATAGAATTAAGAGTGAAGAGACCTCTTTAAGATCGTTCACGAATGTTAGTTCTTCTTTAACATCGTCGAGATTCGAAACCATGTTAATCGCTATTCACACGAAATTTCCATTTTCGGATTACCGTCGATATGGCTTTCTCATAACATGGAATTTCTTATAGAGAATATTATTCGAGTTCTCTCTTGTTAGTTTCATGGCCACACCTCGTGGGTTAATTCCTCGATGCTCTCTCTAGATTTTCACTAAAATACTCTCCCTTGCTCGCGTTACACAGGAACATCATAGACGTACCCACACACATTCTCCCTTAAGACTAAACGAATTCTCCGGAAACTAACTAAAGCTACTGGCGCTTTAGACTGAAAGATACTGCGAAATGAGCTTGTTCTTACAAAACAACAACGCTTCAGAATTCCTTCCTCGGCCTTATTTAATAAAAAATTTTACGACTTTACTACATCGCTTTCCTTTACGATACTTTTATATTACCGCGTGCAGGAAAATTTTTGAAAGGAATTCCGTTTAAAAATAATTATTACTTCAACTTGTTATGCAATTCTTTTTATACATTTACAAAATAATAATTATTTTTTACTTATCAATTTAAAGAAAGGAATACTTTAATGATAGATATTTAAACCGTACAAAAATAAATATAAAAATATTATTTATTCAATATTAATTATCCAATATTAAAAATCACCGATAATGCTACTTACTTTTCATTGGCCAACTAGAAATCATAATGGAAAATCTCTGAAAGACAAGCATACGTATCTCGTCCAGTATCGGGGACGAGGACGTATCGCTTTTGTTCGCGGTCCAGTTTCATATCGATAAATGGACTTTTAATGGATACTACACGGTGAATCAATCGCATTTGTTCGGCTTGCTCATAATCAATCGTGACGAACCATTTTTCTTTTCGATCCCTTTCCGTGTTTCTTTCATCGCGCTTAAACGATCTCCGTGCTCTCGAGCACGAATCGGCCATAAGTGGAGGGAACACCGTGGCGGAAGTTTCTCTTAGTTTCGTCTCACTTCGATCGGCAAACGAACTCTGCTCTTCCGTCCACGCTCCGCCAAAACCTCCGCATGTTAAATCTCGCCCCGGAATATCGAGGAAAATTCCATTCGAGTATGCGTGCAACTTTCCACCGTATTCCGTATTCTCGTATTTTCAATTTTCCTTCAACGTTAAACGAAATTTTGCGATTTTTTATATACGATCCTTGTACACGATTCTATGCATTTTTATAATTTATTTCCGTTTTACTTAAAAAAGAAACGATCGATTTTGTAATACAGGATTCCAATTGATTTCCAATTTATTTTCCCTCAACTTCTGTTCTATCTTTCAAAGTTAAATCCTGAGAAAAAAGATAATATTCTTGCGAATATTCTGATTATACTGCTATCTTCACGACATCTTCTTCTTTAAAATACGATTAACAACCGTTGACAGAAAATTAAAGAATCGATGTTACGAATTTTCACATTAAATAATTACAATAATCTAATAATAATAATAATATATAAAACAAAAAATTAGAACAGGAAACGTTCGAAATAAACGGATCCTCAACTCTAAAAGCGGGACGTCGCGGAAGTAAAACTCGTGAAACTCGCGCGTATTCTCGATATTCTCCCCCTTTTGTTGTCTCTTCCACACACGCCTCAGCTGAAGCGCACGTAACGTGTCCTCCCATCTTCACGCAGATCCGCTCAAAGCGCGCTCTCCGCTTGGATCCGGTCCGCTTGGAAAGTGCGCGATAAAGTAAGGGTGGAGAGGAGGGAAATAAGGGTAGAGATGCGAAGGAGATGGGTCGAAGGAGAAGGGTCGAAGGGTTTAAGACGGAGAAGG